TATTTTCTGTTAAGCAGGGCAACTGAAAGCCTTTAGAATTTATGAATGAAACCTAAGCTTTTTTGAGGACCAGAAACATACTGTAGGCTGAATTGGGAGTGAGCCTGGACTGGGGATTTATTTCAATATAACACTGTATTTCTATACCAGTTGAGGAGTGCAACCACTCTGGAAAGAAGTATGGAGAGTCCTCAAGAAAACTAGGAACCATTGGACCCAGTTATCCCACTCCTTGATATATATCCAAAAGTTTTTAAATCAGCATACTACAGTAATATAGCCACATCAATGTTTATAGAAGCACAATTCATAATATCTAGGCTATGGAACGAAACTAGGTGCCCTTCAATAAATGAATGGATAAAGAAATTGTGGTATATATGCACAATGGAATATTACTTAGCTATAAAGAAGAAGACTTTATGACCTTCACTTGTAAATGGGTGGGTCTGGAGACTATCATGCTAAGTGAATTAAGTCAAATCTCCCCAGAGCCAAAGACTGATATTCTCTGATACATGGATGCTAACCTACAACAAGTTGTGAGGGAATAGAAATTCAGTGGTTTTAGACACAGGGAAATGAAGGGTGGGAGATAGGAATAGGAAAGACAGTGGAATTCTTCTGACATAACTTTTTTATGTATATGCATGAACAGACCACAGTGAATCTCAACATTGTGTACATCCACAAGACTAGGATCCTGACTAGAATAAGGTATATTCCATGTTTGCATAAATATATCAAAATAGTTTCTACTGTCATTTATTACTAAAGAGAACATTAAAAAATTCTCTTAAAGACAAAAACATGGTTCGTATTTTTAAAAATTATATTTATGGCTTGATTAAGAATAAAACAGCCAGTTCCTTCCTTGTGATTCTGCACAGCAGAGGATTTCCTGGTTTGTTAGTTTCTTAGCCCCAGCTGGAAAGGAGAGAACGCAAGAGAATCAGGAAAGGCCTAAGGAAAGGATTCCTAGAAGGATGGGAACTAAAAGGTAAATAAGGAATGCCAGTGCAAACAGCATGCAGGAAGCAGGGCTTGTATCTAGAATGAACCTCCAACTAGTTTCAACCTGAATTTCTTTCCCTGCCTGGGCCTCCCAAGTAACTGTGATTACAGGTGTGCTCCCCTGAGCCTTGCTCTACCCCAATTAGAAAAACCAGATTTCAGGGAAAACAGCACAATTTGTTAGTCCCCAATGCATCTGTGAGTGAAAGCCAACTCTTCAATCAGGAAACATGCACTTCTCATCTCATCTGTGTCCCTTCTGTCCCTTAGTTCACACATCAATCTGCAGGTGCCCACTCTGCAGTGGGAGGGGAATGACAGCAGGATGAGTAGGACTGCTTTTCACCCATGTGCACCCTCCTTGTGAAGGACGGGAGGAAACCCCTGGTGGAACATGAAGAGATGGGACAGGACACCTTGGCAGAATGAGGAGAAGTCTGGCTGCCCAGTGAGAGGGGATGTGTTCAGGGCTGTTCATTCACCAGACAGTAATCCAAAAGTTGATACTCAATGAGCAAAATAAAACTAGAACCTTCTTCTAAGGAATTTGGGACTGAGAGTTGTGAAAAGCCAGAGGCCTTTGCTCACTTGTATGTATTTGGACTCCCCCCTTTTTTTCCTGTGTCCTTTTTAATATATAGTTGGGATAAAAATAATTTGGATAATATATATATATATATATA